AGTATTATATTCATAAATTAAATGTTAACAGGTTGCCCATTTTCATGTCTTGAAAATACTTGATATAATTTTGTAAATATGTTTATATAATAGAGGAGGGTAATGCATATATGGTCAGTTCATGGGAAGTAATTAAATTCTAATAAAACAAAAAGTCAATTTTAGAAATTATATTCTTTTAATAAACTGTTAGGTAGATTTCAGCTCAGTATAAATTAATCAGTTATTTAAACGTTTTAAATAATGATCTTTAAAATTATAAGTATTCTTGGATTTTTTTTTTTTTTTTTTTTTTTTTTTTTTTTTTTTGAGACAGAGTCTCACTTTGTTGTCCAGGCTAGAGTGAGTGCCGTGGCGTCAGCCTAGCTCACAGCAACCTCAAACTCCTGGGCTTGAGTGATCCTTCTGCCTCAGCCTCCCGAGTAGCTGGGACTACAGGCATGCGCCACCATGCCCGGCTAATTTTTTATATATATATCAGTTGACCAATTAATTTCTTTCTGTTTATAGTAGAGACGGGGTCTCGCTCTTGCTCAGGCTGGTTTTGAACTCCTGACCTTGAGCAATCCGCCCGCCTCAGCCTCCCAAGAGCTAGGATTACAGGCGTGAGCCACAGCGCCCGGCTACTTTATCTTATAAATTATATTGTATACATAGTTTTGTAGGTGCTGGACATTTTTTATATCTTATTTGACAGAAGAAATGACTGTGCTTAAAGTGTTTGATCATCTAATATTTAGAAAAATTCTTTAACATTTGAATAGGTGACATATTTACATATAGTAATAATCAGTGACTATAGAAGAGTGCAGTGGAAAGTATTTCTCCTAACCTAGTTCTTTATTAAATTTTCATCCCCTCCTTCAGTCAATAAGCATTATTCTTAGTTTCATGAATGACATCATCTCATCTCATAGGGAATGGAGTGTTTAGGAGTATATAGTATATTATCAGATAATTAACAATAAATTTTCAATAATTAGAAAGTTAGTATCTCATGAGTGCTGCTAAAATGTAACAAAATAGGTCATGGCAGAATATAGCATATCCTGCTTGTTAGAGCAAGGATCAGTAAAGTTTGCCCACATACATACCAGATAGTAATTATTTTGGGCTCTCTGGGTTGCTTATCTGTTTTGCTGTAACTTAAAAGCATTCTCAGTCAATATGTAGATTAATGATCATGTTTGCGCTCCAATAAAACTTTGTATATGGGCACTGAAATTTGTTTTTAGGTAATTTTCACATGTCATGAAATATTCATTTTTGGATTTGTTTTTTGCTGTTAAAAACCATTTTTTGTTTACATGTTATAAAAAAACAGAGGGCAGGATTTGGCTGACAGGTTTGCTGATTCCTAGTCTACACAAAGTTAGGTTGTTGGGTTCTATAACGTATTTTATTTTATTTCTAATTGAGTTTTTTCTTATATGTTTTCAATGTATTGATTTTTTTAAATATTTACTGATTTTTTTAGTTTGTATATTTTATTCAATTTATCACTTAAGGAAGAAGAGATGTAATAATTACAGAGTGATGATTAGGTACTAGATGCTTTTGCACTTTATCTCACTTAATCCAGTCACCAAGTCAGTGAATATGAATGGATATTTTAATGTCTATTTTATAGCTGAAGTAGTGAGGAAGATGGGGGATTAGCAACATTTTTCAAGGTTACATACTTGGTAAGAAGTAGACTATAAATTTTAAGCATAGATTTATCTAACTCTATGTTTCTAGAACTAAACACTTATTTTTCAACCACATAAATATGCTGCTTTTGCCTAGCACTATGCTATGCTCATATTTAGGTGTTTAAAGTTTCGTTGTTTTTTGTTGGTTGGTATTCAATGCTACTGTTTTCTCAAAGACACAAACAGGAAAATTGAATTCATATTTATTTTGTATTACATAATTTACAGATGAGTGATTTTGTTTTATCTAGCTTCTTTTTAAAGGGAATTGGATTGGAAAATTGGTAAATGAAGTTTGATATACAGATAAGGTTTTCCCCCCCAAATATGGTCCCTGACTTGCAGTTATATGTATAATTTATGTTTTATTTTGCAATTTCAGTCAATTTCCCCTTGAATCTTTAAATGTTCAGAACATTTGATGATGCATCAGTATTAGGAGATTGTTTTTGACAATGGTTAAAGGAAGAAGGAAGTGTTCCTATATGTGATTAAAATATGTAAAAGCACATATTTTTTTTTCTGGACTTAAAAACGGCAAAGAGTGATCCTTTTGTTCAATAACATAGAATTACATTCACAATATTGGTAGTTTATAAAATTTGGCTACTCTTAAAATTAAAATTCAATTGAGGAAACATTTTAATTTATTCATAATTCTTCAAATGTGAGCATTCCTTTGTTGGATATATTCTGATTAATTTCATATATATTATTTTAGAATATATAAGGAATTTAGTCTATTAGTTTTACAAAGTTGTTAAAGTAATGAAAAGTAAATAGCATGCCACTGTAACTAATATTATCACTTATTTATGATAAAAGTTTAAATTTTAAGTTTGTATCTAAATGCATTAACAGATTGTAATATTTTAATGAGTTTGATGGTCAAGACCTTCCACAGTCATCAGCGATGTCATAAAATATTGTCTCTTTAGTCATGGGAATATATATTTTGGAATTCTTTTAAGGATTGTGGGTTGATTTCCAGTTTACTGGGAGGGTTGTAGTGAAGATTGACAAATTATTGGTTCCACAGTACGGAGCTTTATTGATCAGACAATTTTATTTAATGATTGTTTAGTGGCTGATAATTAGAAGACTTGCTGAATTGCTTCTAACTCTGAGAGAAAATTATACATTTCATATTCGCTTTCAGAATTTAAAAATCTAACATTGAGATCATGCCATTGCATTTTATGAAATTGATAAGACATGTAGTCATTACTTACTGATTACCAAAATAAATGAGGGAAGTAGCCCATTTTAAGAGTAGTTTAATTAAAATAAAAACTAAATACTGTGTGCCATTAAATTGAAAACAGCTGGCAAGAATATGAAAAAATGCTGTTCTAACTTAGAAACGTTAACATCATTAAAAATATTAGTTGGTCTTATTTTTTAAATTGTGTACACAGTATAAAATAGTAATATTTGGAGACATAGAAATAAGTTAGCAACCTCTAGTCAAACATTATAAACTGAAAAATATTCAATATACCAATATGTATACTTTGTATATGCATAATAATAAGAAGGCTCATGAGGGCACTGTATTTCCAGCAGTCTGTGCAGTGCCAACACATATGAAGTATTCAGATATTTATTAAGTAAATTAATAAATGGCACCGATCTGTGTACTTTGTTTTTCCAAAGAAAAATGTTATTTTGTTAATATTCTTATATCAATCTTCGGTAAAAGGTACTCATTTATTTCTGTTAACTAAAGAGTCTGAGTTAGTTTATCATAGATGATTTAATTGAAATGCATTGATTACTTTTTTTGTATTCATTTTTTATTTCTTTCTTCAGTAAGGTATTTAATAACACTTTGCATGAAATGCCCTTGTTTGGACAGAATACAAAACTGTAACTTAATAAAACACAAAGAGGAGATGTGAGGAGGGGGCTCTGTGGTTAGTGAGTGCGCCAGAGCAGTCTTTGGAAATTGGAAGAGGCAGGTGACAGTGGGCAGATGAAACATACTCTTTATTGTCTAGGTTGTGGTAGGGTGTATATGGGGGTCTGGGGGCAAATGCAGTGGCACAGTGAGAATATGGTGAGTGCTTATATATGGCTCATAACAATAGTGGCAACATGCTATGGGAAGCGTGATCACATGGGTTCACATAGGAGATAACACTTTGGTTACATAAGTGTGCTAACTCATGCCTCCCTAGAAGGCCAGCTTGCCAGAGGGCTGTACCAGAAAAACACTCCAGCAGTCAGTCATCTTAGTTTGGCCTAAGGAACCTATTAACTTATACAAATGAATTTTCCCTTACAAGAGATTAAAGCCATTTAAAAAATTTAAATAGAGATATGTTTCATGGAAGTACGTATTTCATTTCTCAAGATCTAATCCTCTTAGTACCTTTTCAAGTTAATTTTCAATTGGGATAATAAGCAGAAGTTAGGAAATTTTAAGAATAATCAGTATAAGACAGTCAAATGGTCCATTGAAAATTGAATCTTATTATTTAATAAAACCTAATTTCAATATGGCTTGACATTATATACAGTCATGGACATCAGATTAGGGTTTCTAATGAAGAAAATTACCTATAGTAAAAAGTTGTATTGTAAGGTAGTGATGCCAGTGAAACCAAGGTTATAAAAATGTACAAAGAAAACAACATGATTCCAAAAAAAGTTTTTGAGCAGCTTTTTTTTTTTTTTTTTTTTTTTTTAGAGTCTCACTTTCTTGCCTAGGCTAGAGTGAGTGCCGTGGCGTCAGCCTAGCTCACAGCAACCTCAAACTCCTGGGCTCAAGCGATCCTACTGCCTCAGCCTCCCGAGTAGCTGGGACTACAGGCACGAGCCACCATGCCCGGCTGATTTATATTAGTTGGCCAATTAATTTCTTTCTATTTTTATGGTAGAGACGGGGTCTCGCTCAGGCTGGTTTTGAACTCCTGACCTTGAGCAAACCACCCGCCTCAGCCTCCCAGAGTGCTAGGATTACAGGCGTGAGCCACCGCGCCCGGCTTTTGAGCAGCTTTTTAAGGCTTAAATTGGGATAAATTTTACTTTATTTTCTCAGATATTAATTAGAATGATTTTCAGTCATCATTTTTAATTGGCATTATCGTTAACTGATCCAGGCTTCCCAGCTCTTCAGTTTCCCATGTGCTGCGGTCTTTAAATGAATTGCTTAGGACAAACACTTTTACAAATATGTAACAGCTGAACAATTTGAATTTTATTCTCTGAAATTCATTTTTTTCTTTTTATTTCAGCATATTACAGGGGTACAAATGTTTAGGTTACATATATTGCCTTTGCCCTACTTGAGTCAGAGCTTCAAATGTGTCCATCCTCCAGACGGTGCGCATCACACCCATTAGGTGTGTATATACCCATCCTCCTCCCCCTCCCATCTTCCCAACACCCTATGAATGTTACTGCTATTTGTGCACTTAAGTGTTGATCAGTTAATACCAATTTGATGGTGAGAACATGTGGTACTTGTTTTTCCATTCTCGTGGTACTTCACTTAGTAGAATGGGTTCCAGCTCTGATACAGCCAAGTCAAAGAAAACATGAGATAGTGGTTGGCCATTTGATGAGTACACCATAATGGCCTTACCTTGATGAGGCCCAGGGTGCAGTGTCTTAGACTTTTCTTAGAATACTGGGCACCTGACTTTGCAAGAACATTCAGATTTTTGTAATTTCAGAGCAGCTGACTCATGCTTAGCAAACTAAAGTATGACTGAGATATAGACCATAATGTTAGGGTTGTGTTTTTTTTTCACATTAAATCATAGGCATGAAAAGGGAAATTATGATCAAAATTATACTTTGATAACATGAAGTCAGATAGATAAAGAAAAGGGAGGTAGGTGATTTTGAAAAGTATATAGGTATAGGTCCATGCTATGTCTGGTCCCCACTAGGAAAATTAAAATATTAGCATTCTCCTCTGGTATTGGGAAGCTGCTGACAATTCTGTTTTTGTCTCCCCTTCATTGATATGATTCAGCAGAAAGAAATCAGTGAAGTTGTCAGTTCTATCAAGTGGTCTGCTTTTTCTTACAGTGGCTTTTAAGATCTATTTAATATATATCAAAAATGTATAAATTCCATTTCTGTGGATTTTGAATTTACTTTTATTTCTGGGTTTTACTTTTTAATCAAATGTCTAAGAAGTAGGCTTAGATCCTTTTCTTTTCTTTTAAGATTTTAAAGGCTAAAGATGAAAGCTTTCTTTTAATATGACTTAATGTTAATTTTGTTCACAAGAGCTTTCTTGATTTTCCCATTTTCTTCTTATTCTTCATCTGAGAATAATCTCAGGACATAAGCATTGCTATTTCAACTCAAACAATTAGTCTCCAAAGCCTATGTAAATAATAATTTTGTGGCTTTTATATATTTATTGCCTAGAGTAGGATTTCAAAAAGAGAAGTTTTAAGGTAATGTAATAGCCAGTTTTGTACTTTTAATGCAGAGACAATTTTCCTCATAGTGAAGTGGGAAATCAGTTTCCTCTATGGAACAATACCTCTATTTATGATTTTCTCTCAACGTATAAATTCAGTGAAAATGGCTGTCTGTCAAAGGCACTCAACACCAAAATATGGACAATCCTTGGTGGTGGGAGCAATCTGCAAAATGTGGTTTTCTAAGATAGTGCATTAATATATCTTTGGTATAAAAAATCTTTCCTTTTCTTCCCCCCCACATCTATTACCTTCCAAACTTTTGTGCACTGAGTGCCAGAATCCTGGGCCTTACCACAATATTTTGTGCTATCTTCAAATTGTGAATGAAAGCAAATTTTCCATAAACAAAATTGCTTTTCAGGCTGACCATCTACAAGAAGAGAAGTCCTTCAGACTTTGTGGTATTAGTGGAGAGGCCTTTGTTACCTACCACCCACTCAGTATACCCACTCTTTCTGCATCATGGACTTTTCATTCATAGCACTTATCCCAATTTGTAAGTAAACCTTTATTATGGTTTATTTATTTTCTGCTTCTTCTGGGTATAAGAAGCTCTGTAAGAACAGAAACTAATTTTTTTTCACTTCCTTATATATGATGCCAACCACTAAAGAAGATATAAAAATTATTGAGTGAATATTAATATAAGCACTTCTGCAACCAAGCTGAGGCTTTCTTTCCACATGGATTTAAAAATTTCCAGGATTTCTAACATGGGAGAAGCTAGTTATATCTCTTGGATGACTAAGTACCTCAGAAGACTGAAGAACTTGAAAAATTCCCAGATGCATTTTGGTCCATAAAAGTGCTCTTGGTTAATGTTTTCAGTACAGTAGGTTCATATTTATAATCTCTTTTTTCGATATCATTATATCTCTCTTTTTAAATGATCCTTGTCCTCATGAAACATACAAACATTTCCACTGAGAAATAAGAACCATAATCTCCTTTTATAATTGAGGAATAATTTTCTTATTACACAAACTGTCCTAAGAAGGCCAATAGTTGTTCCATTAATACATTGGAAGAGAACTTCACTACATCAGTCACTTTCTGTTAGTCATTGTGTCAGCATCACTGAAAAAGCCTTGGGCCTTGGAAGATACTGGTAGATACAAGAAATACTGAAGCTGGATTGTAATATCTTTAATAGTCACCTTGGTCACTAACTTGACAACACAAATTTTATTCCATACATTAGTTATATTATCCTTGGTTTGCCCAGGAAAAGAATGAAATTTAGTTATGACTAGACTAGACTATCTCTATGACTAGAGATCTCTATGTGTATTATTTGAGAATTTTCTTTGCCTTTGAATTGTTGTAGCTTTCTTTTTTAGAAGGGGTAAATTTTGAATGACCAAAATTTATGTGGGAGGAAACAGTGTTCCCAAGATGATATGGAAAAGTAAGCAGTCTGAGCTCTTATAGTTATATGGTTTTATACCTTGATTTGTAAGAGGAACTCATTAACTTGATTATTCATCACAGCATATTAGTAGAGTGGAATATTACCATTTAAACATCCCTTTACATTTGGAAAAGTTCATATAGAGAATGGAAGTAACTGATTTTGGCTCAGTGACAGAAAATCATTAAAACATGTTAAAGAGTGTGTTCCTCATGATAAATTATTGAAGATTACAATATATTGGCAGTTTTTCTACTTTTTCTTTTATTTAGTAAATATTATGCACAAAGAATTCTTCTAAGTATGATGAAATTTCAAGGATGAAATAAGAAACATTTAATCTCAAGGATTATAAATCTCTCTTGTTTATCTCAACAGTTTCCTTCCTTTCTGGTTACCAAGACTCTGTTTCAAGTTGAAGCTTGGAAATGTTAATGAGTTCCAGGATATTAACGTTAAAAATGAATTTAGCTGCTGAATGGTTCTATTGATGTTAGCTCTGGAAACTCAAATCATGTTCAAATAAATTACATGGAAACAGTAAATGTCACTTTTCCCTGTTTCTTTCTTTACTACTGCTAATGTTTATGAACTATTCAGAATCTGAATGAGTTTTTCCTGTCAGCATGTACACTGTTATCCCAAACTCTGATGTTTTGAAAAGATGACTCATGGACTTAAGTTTTAAATGAGAATATTATTTCTGTTGATCCTCATTTGAATCACTGTGGAATAAATAAATATTAACATATTATAAGGCATCCCTTTCTTAAGAGAGTAAAGGACTGATGAAATGAAGACTTTGCTTACTTAAAAAAACATTTTACTGTAGTGTTGTGCAAAGGAAACTAAACCACAAATATGAGTGTCTTGGTAGCTATACATAGTGGCAGCAAGAAAGGTGACTCACAGATAAGCCTATTTGGAATACCCAGGTGCTCCTAATTGCCACTTTCTATAACTTCTAAATCCTAGTAACTACTACTTCAGTAGTCACTTCTTCACTTTAGGCAGGAGGCATTTTAGCATAATTACATTAAATTGTTGAAATAACTTACTACTTCATGGAGAAAGATTCTAGTACAGAACAACTAGAGACTGCTGAAATAATCACTGAGCTCTAGAGTTATTTTCATTATTTCATAAACTTATTCTATTTCTCAGTGATAATATGGTGTGGCCTTACTGACAGTCTATTTGTTTGGGGATGAAATTTTATCACTGTTATCACTTATATGATAACGGTTACCTTAAGAGTACCAGATTAATGAAGATGAGAGAAAGAAAATATTGAGAAGCTTTTACATGTCAGTTTCTATTTTAGGTATTAATATTATTATACCTAATTCACATACATTCTCATTTTATTTTCACTAACATTAGAAAGTAGGAGTCACTACCTCCATTTTATGTAGAGGCAACTGTGAGTCTCAGAGGAGTTAATGGTGCATTTGAAATCCCATAGCTAGCCAGCCTGTAGCTGGATTTAAATTGAAGTCATCGTGGCTACCAAGTTTGTCTTTCCCTTCATGCCACATCTCTCAATCTTATAATCTTCAGATGGTAGCTTGTCCTTTTTGGAAGTGTGTGGGGAGATTCTGCTATGAGAACTGCAAGGATTTTCTGTGATGGAGCTAGCAGAAAAGTTCAGCTCAGATGAGTTGAAGAAAATGTCTCCAAAGCTGTCAATGGAAAAGCTCTTCCGTTGTACCTAAGGGAATAAAATAAGGAATTCCCCACAGACTCTTCAACAGAATAAAAGTTATGAGAATATTTGATGGTATTGCTCTTGATCTCTGGGCAGTGATAAGGTCAAGAACTTATGTTCTGTACAATTGTTACTTACAGTAAAGATTTGGCCTTTGATTTGATCTTTTAAGTTCTGGTATGAGCTTAACAAATAACTCAGGAGAAGTGGCAGGGGCTGAAGTCTGATTGGCTAAGTTAACTTGTAAATAGTAGTTAGGACAAGAGTATGATGTTGATGTCCACTGAGGCTTATTTTAAAAGAGAGCAGCTATTTGAATGTTCATATATCACATTCAGAAAGTTATTTTGAAGGGATAAACATTTTAAAAAGTAGACCATGGTTAAATGTCATAGTGATGTTACCATATGCAAATGGCATGTCTCATTTTGTTAGTGCTTTTTTTTTTTTTATTACACTAGCAGGATGTCATCACTAGAGAAAAGGTAGAAGGTAACAAGTGCCAGAAATTCAATAGAACAGCGCAATTTAATTTCACCAATGCTAATAATTTGATATATAGTATTTCTGATTTTTTTTATATTTACTTGTATATGCTTCACCCAAACAGGATCAAAGCACAATAGTATTTGTTAACCTATTTTTTAATTTGTTTATCAGTTTTCCACTTAATGATACTTTATGAATAGCTTTCCATCATTATATATGATAATAATACTACTCCATACTACTGATGTACCAAAATATTTAACTTTCTTTTATTGAGCAATTATATTGCTTTGATTTTTTAATCAGAACAAGGTTATCATGAGTAAGGTTTCAAAAATATTTATAGGCTACTGTGCACTGTGTTGTCATATAAATTTTTAATATCCTAATATTTTAATAGGATTTTAACATTTTCTATATTTTTGCATTTTTATGAATTCACACATGTATCTTTTCTTTGTACATTCTTCCATTCCTATTATATCCACAGGAAACTTTTCCATATTTATGTGTCCCTAAATGTGCCAGCCATTTTGTAGGGCATGTGTCCAACAATAGTGTCCTCTTAGAATTTGACATTTAGTGTGTGTATTTTATTTTCATTGTAGAGGGCCCTTGTTGGTGTGTGAAGTATGATTTCTGCATATATTTTTGAGTGGTAAGGCTTGTATGTTTGGTAGACATGGTCTGAATCTCATGGACTGTCTGAAAATTAACATCTGATTTTGTTTACCAGAGGAAAGATCATAGGTTATATTTTCTGAAACAAGTGTTATGTTCTATATTTTGAACACCAAACATCATGTGACCAGATAATGTAAGTAAGAGATTTTAGAAAAGAGCTGAGAGGAATATCGTGACAGTGTATTTGCTATTAACGAATACACACTGCTCTGTAAAATAATCATGTTAACCAGTACACTGGTCTTCCTGCATCATCAACATTTCCTTAATAGTCTGTCGAGTGATGCTGAGTCAGAGATAGCATTAAAGATATTAGAATCAGCTGTTTAGCTGAAATGTTTACATCCTATAAAATCCTTAAAAAATTATGATAAAAATACAAGACTCCATTCCTTTCATCATGCTACTGGATGAAAGGAGTTTGTGGCTGTAAATAAATTTCTTTCTCTTGAGCAAATATCTGAGCAGAAGATTATAATGTCTCCACAGCTAGTTCCTTGTCGATCCACATTTGTGCCTTTTCCACGACTTCAGCCATCAATATCTGATTCAAGAAAAAGGTACTGTAGGGTATGCTATAACATCAAGGGGTTGAAATGATGAAAACAATGTTCACATGTTTTTATTGTCATGGATAAAGTTATAATTATAATATAATTGCTTATTTTTCGTCTGAAATACTGTTTATAATCTGTAGTTTTAATGAACTTGCAATTGCATGCTTTAAATATATTTATTTTAATGATGAATGAGAGAAGCATTTCAGAAAACTTTCTTAATCATTATGAATATTCAATTCAGCAATTTATTTTTGTGATACCTTAGAATGTTTGAGTATATGGAATGTACTCTGACTTTAAGCCGTAATTGAATTGCTCTAATTTGACGTAACATCTTTTCTCTAACATTATTATTTAAATGCAAGGTTTCTGAATCTGTCATTCCGTTACATTATTTATTTAAACATACTCATTCAAGAGTTACATATTTATGTGTAGCATAATTGTAAGCATGAAAGGTATGAGGCAGTATAATGCACAGTCATATCCTGTCTGACTTTTTCTGCTCTTGCATGACTAGAATAGCTTCCTCTCAAAATGCCTGCTTCAGTTCCTTTTATCAGTACATTTTAGGCCAGGCTGACAGCATTGCAGATGGGGTTGTTACAAACACATTGATATCACCAGTCAAGGGAATAATTCTACCTAATGAGCAAAGGAAGTGTTAACCAATTTTTATTACTGACAGTCATAAGCCAGCAAGAAGGAATCTCCCACAAAAGATAAATCTCGACTCCATTAGTGATTGTGTTTTTTACGATCAGCACTTAAAACTAAAATGCTTTCTCCTTAAATGGACTATGCTATAGTTAGAGGGTAATAACTTATCATGAGTAAAGATGTATTGCATTTCTTAATGGCTCTTTAGTCAATAACATCTTTGGTTTAGATGTCATTGGAAAATAAGAAACCAGTACATGCCATTTCTGTTTGATCCTTGCTTGAACACTTCTAAGAGAAGTGAGGAGAGGAATCACACATAATTTGTTTTTCCAATTCAAATGCCAGCTTAGAATTTTGTGTTATGTTCAGAGAAAAGCACAGAGTAATAAAACTAGAGTATCTAAAGACCATTTCTAAATCTTTGTAAATACTTGGAGCTACTCAGGATTGTTACATTAGGAGTAAAGTGTTTGTTCAGAAAAATTCTATATCTTATTCTAACTTTCTAGAGAATTCTATCTTATGTAATATCTAAAGGACTTCTTTCTATGAATTTCCAACGATCACAACACTGGTGAACTAATAAACAAATTAGGAAATTGAAAATGAAACAGGATTTTTGACAAAAAAAGCATAAGCTTTTAATGTTTGATCTGGAGGCATGCCTAATAGACATGGTCATTGTCATATAGCACTGGTTATGGAGATTGTTAAATTGGTGATGTAATGGCTGTCATTCTATTACTGACTATTGTCTTGTTCTTTGAAAAATCTTTATTGGAGGTAGTTAATTGGAATCCAGTTAAGGCTACGAAAGTTGATAGTTTAAGAGTAAGGAAAATGGCAGGAGAAATTTGGTACATTAGAAAGAGTCATGATCTAAGAATTGGTCTTATGTTCAATTCTTGTTCTGTCACTAGGTGTGAAAGAGGTGCACCTCTTTTCAAATCTCATATCTATTTTGGGCATCAGTTTTGTATCTATAAATAAAATTTAGTTAGAAAGAACTCCTTATATGGAAAGAGATCATGACTCTTTGCATCTAGTGTTTGTACAAGACAAAGTTTAAGAAATGGGCGAGTGTCTTCAAAATGCATTTTATTTTTCTTGTAAAATTGCACTTATTATTAGATCCCAGCTTCAAAACTTAGTAGTGTGATCTTGGGCAATGTGCTGAACTTTCTGAGCCTTACCAATATCATCTATATGTGGATAATAATTCTTGGCTCAAATAATTTTTGTAATGCTAAATGAAAAAGATACATGCCCAGTACATAGCAAGCATGTATTAAAATGCTGTGATCCACCTGGGTATTTAAAATAGTATTATTAATTAATATAATATGAGTACACTTTGGAAATGAAAATGTTCATTGGTAATATTAGTTATCTGGGCTCATTTTTTTTCTTTATTTCAATTTTATTTACATATGTCAAGTTTCTACATGATTTCAATTTTCTACATGATTAGGAAAAAGTGATTAGACTCTAGGTAATTGTTGAAGATGCACAAGTGGAAAAAAGTTTTTTTTTTTTTTTTTTGAGACAGAGTCTTGCTTATTGCCCAGGCTAGAGTGAGTGCCGTGGCGTCAGCCTAGCTCACAGCAACCTCAAACTCCTGGGCTCGAGTGATCCTTCTGCCTCAGCCTCCCGAGTAGCTGGGACTACAGGCATGCACCACCATGCCTGGCTAATTTTTTTTATATATATATCAGTTGGCCAATTAATTTCTTTCTATTTTGCTCAGGCTGGTTTTGAACTCCTGACCTTGAGCAATCCGCCCGCCTCGGCCTCCCAAGAGCTAGGATTACAGGCGTGAGCCACAGCGCCCGGCCGGAAAAAAGTTTTCATGAATAGTTTTTGATCTCCAAATTGAACCTTTTCATGACAACTGCTGAACGAAACAAATTAGGAAATAGTTTTAATATCAGGAGATTATAGTGAGAAGTGAATTCAACTCTCTATAATTTTTATATGAATCATATTCCTTCACATGTACCAGCAAGTTTTCTTCACATTAAATTATTTAAACTAATTGGAACTTTTTTCAATTATGAGTTATATTTTTTATTTTAATGAAAGTTTCTTAGTAATTAAGCATATATCCTTCATATGCTACTTTCAAAGAGCACATGCTGATTCACAAGCAGAATAATGGTTTCCTGTTAATATTCTTCCCCATGAGAGAAATTTAAGCAGCTTTTAAAGTACTTGAAACTACAAAGATAATGGCCTCATTTTCAGAAAATTTCTTACATTATTAATATCATTCATTTTATGTCACCCTGTTTTACTAGTACAGTGTCATTATTTACGTGTGACTAATTCTGAACACGTTTGGTAATTTTTCCTAACTTTATGGTGATATGATACATTTTAATATATGCATTTCAACCTTTGTGTTACTAATACCTTATACTTGAATAACAGAAGACAAATTACTAAAGCTAATGAACAGTTCTCATAAGTGCTACAGGGTCGATCTTTTTACATTAAAATGCATAAAGAAGATAATTTGCCAATGCAAACACCCTTTTGCTTCTTCAACAAGAACTTTTGAGGGATATATTATAGAGTCAACATACTGAGGGCATGCAAAAAAGTGTAAGACACAGTCCATGACTTTGTGTTGGTAACATTTGAAGAACAGACAAGAATACCTTGGATCATCCAAATAAAAGTACATACCATGAGGGAATTTCTGCTTTTGAATAGAGCAAAGGAAGTGAAGCTGGGCGATGGAGGAAAAAAAATAAGGTTTCCCTGAAATTGATGTGCTCCTGCTTCAAGCCATGCCTGCAGGCATCACCAGTCTGCACTTTTTACTTCGTAATTTAAGCTAATTTGAATAGATTCTTTTTCTCAATTGCAAACTAAGGAATCCTAAGTGATATTGTACATAATAAATAAAGTAGTTCAGACATCTGCAAATTATTTTGAATCAAAGCATAAACATGGAAGTTATAGTAACTTGATGACTGCAGATTTTACTGATTCCTCATATGTATTAGAGCATTGTTTTGGTATATATACATCTGTTCTTCATCAAAAACTGCTGGGGCCTCCAGTAATACTTTTTGCATATGTAGTGTTTTTCAGCATTTATATCTAGTTTATAATAAGCCTATAACTCATTTATGGACAACTAAACTAAATTCACCTAAATTAATCTTTAAATTTTGTTAACATAGGTTAACATGAAGTAATTTATAAGCAATTTAGTATTAAAAAGGGTAGAATTTGTAAACATGCATAAAGAAAGCTGGATTGAAATGGAGTTGCCAAGTGCCGACACTTTCTACATAAACATATTGTTTAAATATAATTTAAATAGAGATCTTTATATACTTTGGTGTATTGTTAGACAAAAGTACAAGAATTATTAGCATTTCCTTTTTTCCTTTAAATGAAGTAAAATGTGATCTATCATAAATAAGAAAAATTTCATTACAATTGATTTTCAGTTATTTTCTCAAAGTTTGTCTATAGTCAGGCTTTAATTTCACATCAACTTTTTTCTAATTCTAAAGAACAACTTATTGTTAATGCTAAGTCGATGCTTCCTTAATTTTTATAAATGTAAAAATGAAACATGCATATTTTCATGAATACTAGATAGAGTTGTAAGCATGTCTGCATTCTATTAGTTCTCTTCACAGTTTATCAACCTATTTTATAGTGTGGAATGACTGCATGTTAATGGAAAACCTAACAGTCTTATATCTATCTAGAGTTGGAAGACTTCTTGATAGGGGTTAGAATGTGAGGTGGCAGCCTTCTGAGTTCTATTGACAAGCCTCAGGAGCATGGAAAGGGCCATGCTATAGTTATTCCCATATTCATGGCTGCTAGTAAAGTCATCCTCAACCCATAAATGTTGCAAATGTCATACCATAGAATCCTCATAGTCCTTTTCCATGTATATTGGAAATTATGGTGAGCCAGGACCTAGAAGTTTGCCAGCTATTCCTTTAGTATGTTAAAACATATTTTTCAATTTTCCTAAACCCAGAGACAAGGTACAAAAAGAGGCCAAAAAAAAAAAAAATTTCTAGAATGGATTGAATCATCTGTTATGGCTTTGTTTCATTTGTTCTCTGAGACAAACTATATTCATTTTTGTTTTCCTCTAAAAACTGATGATCTAATATTTGGACTTTTTGGTTTGGGAGATATCTCACTGTTGGGCATTCATGACATCCCCAGGAAAGATAGGGTCCCCTGGCAGACCGTGTTGCAAGAGATGAGAAAAACAAAGACGCAGACATGGGAGGTCAGGGGACCACCAGCACTCCGGTGCCAAGGTGGCAGTGACTGAACCCCAGGACTTGCTTTTT